AAGATTTAGGTGTCAACAGTAGATCAGGGCTTTAGTGAGGAAAGTGGTGTTGGAAAAAATAATTATCAATATTTCCCAAAGGGTATACTGAGCAGCCACGTCACTAGAATTATAAGGATACACACGAAGAAAATAATTGAGGAGTTAATGATACTGATTACACTTTTGTTCTTACACTTCAAAAACCAAAAGAACTGTGGATGCTGGAAATCCGAAACAGAAACAGAAATTGCTGGAAAATCTCAACAGGTCTGGCAGCATTTGTGGAGAGAAATCAGAGTTAACATTTCAGATCCAGTGACCCTTCCTCAGAACTGAGTTCTGAAGTTCTTAGTTCTGAAGAAGGGTCATGGGACTTGAAACATTAGCTGACTTCTCTCCAAAGTTGCTACCAGACCTGCTTAGATTTTCCAGCAATTTTGGTTTTTGTTTCTTATGCTTCAAGAGAGGTAAGAGCCCATCACTAAGCCAATTTTACGGTCAATATCACGGTGAAGCGAATGGCATCACCGTTATTTATAAATAAATAGTGCATCAAATTTGGACCAAAATGCCATTCGCCTCACAGTGATGTTGACTGTAAAATTGCCTCAGTGATGGGCTCTTACCTCTCTTGAAGCATAAGAAACAAACCTGTAGTTGGTGATCTGAAGTTAAACTTTAAACTTCAAAAATTCAGGGTGCATTACTCAACCATTAACTTTATGAAAAGGAATCGATCTCACTGATTATCACACTAATAAAAAGTATTAAATGGTGTAAATTTGCTGTATTTGCATCACACTAAACTTGCTACAGAAAGTTAAGTCTTATTATTTCAAGTGTTAGAACTCCTTTAACAATGTGTTGATGACTCCCAATCAATCTCTGATACTGAAAATTAAGTCAGAAGTCACACAACTCTAGGTTATAATCCAACAGGTTTATTTAAAATCACAAACTTTTGAAGCTCTGCTCCTTCATCAGGTGAAGTGAAGGGAAACACACAGGCACAAAATATATAGGCAGAGATATAATGGCAAGCTAATTAAAGGTGATTAAAAGTGACAATAGATAAGTACACATAGTATGAGTGAAGTATTAATAGGCTGAATAACAATTGATTATTTGATTATTTGTAATTATGTCTCTGTGTTTTAATTAATCAGTTCACCAGTCATCCCTTCACTTGTTTTTCAGCTGTTGACACTTTACTCACACCGTTTAATACTTTTAATCATCTGCAAAGACTTGCTATTCAGCCTGTTGACACTCTAGTCACACTATTTGTACTTATCTGTTGACACTTAATTACCCAAATAATCTTGTTATTATCTCTCTGCTTATGTATTCTGTGCCTGCGTATTTCCCTCCACTTCATCTGACGAAGGAGGAGTGCTCCAAAAGCTTGTGATTTTAAATAAAGCTGTTGGACTAGAATTTGGTGCCTTGTGACTTCTGACTTTGTCAACCCCAGACCAACACCAGCATCTCCACATCACTGAAAATTAACTATAACAAATTTGAAGATTCATTCCTCAATACTAATGCTGGATACTTTTTTCTTTAAAAACAGTTTTGCTCTTTGTGATTTTTATTTTCTTTCGCTCTTAATCCAATCCTTCTTTCCTTCTCTTTATTTTTGTCTGTGTCTGTGATTTAACATTGAGTTCAGTTACTTGAATTCACACTTCCTTCTGAATCCTTGTTGCTAATTTCACAATCCTTCAATCAGAATGATTCCGAAGATATATGGTTGGTGTTTTTCACTCAGATCCCAGATGCTGTTTTTCTTGTGGTAATGTTATCAGTTCACATGTTTAGCAACTTAGCAGACAAAAAATGTTTTTATAAAGCTTAAAGCTGCTATTAAATACCCTGCCAAAGCAAATCTGGGTGATTGTTTACTCAAGAACTATTCAATGCAGCTTAATTTGTCAAGTAATCTCAAACTCTATGTGATCTGTACTGCAAATATCATGAAAAACCAGCCCTGGTATTCAGATGTAATTTATATTATTTCATTTCCAAAAATTTTCACATTGAAATCTATTTACAATAAACTACAATATTGACTTTTCTCTCTCTTTTTGAGAAATGTTTGTATTTGCAGTATTATACTCAATCCCATTAGCAACACTGTTGTGTTTGAGCTGGTAGGGTTAACAGAATGGGCAAATCCAAACCAGTAAGAAATAAGGTATGGATTTAAACAATTGACAAATATTTCTTTCTCCTTTCCAGCACCAAGACACAATAACCTGGATAATTGTTGGAAGTAACATTAATAGATAGGCACTTAATGTATTCATTTGACATTCTGTTGTCTGGTATTTCTGTGAAGGCATTGACCTATTTAAAGTAAATGGGTTAATGTCTGCAATAAAACTGGAAATGGGATATATATCTAACCAAGGGTGTATGTATGTGGTCTGTTCCCAGGCCTTGAAGTGCCAACATGAAGTTTAACAGTGTCAAAGGTTAATCTGATACCCCTATCCATAGTTATATTAGTTAAATTAGAAAGACATCACTTGTATTTTCCACACTTTAGGACACAAAACAATTAATAAAAACTGTAATATAGCCAAGTAAACATACAGCGTGCACTTTGGTTGAGATGTTAAATTGAAGCCCCTGCCTGCCCTCCCAGGTATACGTTAAAGATTTCACAACACTATTTAAAAGGAGCGATGGGAATTCTTCCAGAGCTTGGAACATTATTTACACCTCCAAAAATGTCATTCCAAAATGTTACAGAGTTATTTATCACTTTGCTGTTTGTGGAGCCTGTGTCCATACAGAATGTCATGTGTCTTGTGATTTCAAATAAACTTGTTGGACTACAACCTAGTGTCATGTGACTTTTAAATTTGTTGCAAGGGGGAATGGTGCATATAAGAAAGGAGATCTTACAACTTAAGGCATTTGCAGGTCAGACCACACCAAAAACATGATGTACAGTTTTGGTCTCCTTGTTTAACGGGTAATATACTTGCTACGTTACAACAGCAACTACATTTTATAAGTACTTAAAAAAAAAGTATTTTGGGACATCCAGAGGGCATGAAAGGCATTGCATTAATGCAAGTTTATTTTTCCTTTAGCCAGCTGAATTAATTGAGAGAGAGAGAAAGAGAGAAACATGGTCCTAGTGAGTTTAGCAGCCTTAAAAGTGATTAAGCCTGCAGAACTGGATAAGATGTGTCCCAGGCATAGGAGGAGATATCCAGTAGATATCCAGTAGATGGCAGTAAATTTCAAACCCTCTCTGGCCACAGCTGAGGAACCAGAGGACTGGAGGAGGCTAAAGTTGTCTCGTAATTTCAAAAAGGAGAAAAGAATAGACCAGGAAATTGCAGGCCAGTCAGTCTAGGCTTGGTGCTCAGTAAGTTATGAGAAGACATTCTGAGGAACAAATATTTCCACATTTGGAGAGATATAGATTTATCATGGATAGCATGGATTTATTAAGGAAAAGTCATGTCTGACGAATTTGATCAATTTTTTTGAGACAATAACCCCTAAGAGTAAATTATGGTAAAGTATTTGATTTGGTTTCCATGGATTTTAGCAAAGCTTTTGATAAAGTCACTCATGGCAGACTGGTCAAGAAAGTAAGAGCCGATGGGATCCTTGGAAAAATTGCACGTCGGATTGGAAATTGGCTGAGATGATAATGACTGGAAGTCTGTTTCCAGCGCAGTTCTGTAGGGTTTGGTACTGGATGCCTTCCTGTTTGTGGTACACAGTAATGATTTGGATTTAGAGGGTATCATCAAGATGTTTGAAGATGTCACAAAAATTGGTAGGGTGGTAAATAATGAGGATGGTAGCCATAGCATGACAAATCAGGTGGATCATAAATGACTGACCAGCCAGGTGGACCATTGGGAACTGGAATTCAAAATGGAAGAATCTGAAGTAATGCACTTGGAGAAGACTAACAAGGCAAAGGGTCACACTGTGAATGATAGGACCCTGGAAAGTGCTGACGATCAGATCTCTTTGGTGTGCACATTCACGGATCCCTGAAGGGAGCAGGGATGGTAGATAAGGTGGTTAAGCAGGCATAGAGGATACTGGCCTTTATTAGCTTAGGCATGGAATACAAGAGCAAAGGGGTTATGCTGGAAGTTTTATAAAAACACTGATTAGACCACAATATAGGAAGGATGTAATTACAGTAAAGTAAGGGCAGAGGAGATTTACCATGATAGTGCCTAGTCTGGAGGGTCCATGGTATGAAGTAAGATTGGATAGTAAGCTTTTCTGAAGAAGTGTCTAGACCCGAAACATCAGCTTTCCTGCTCCTCTGATGCTGCTTGGCCTGTTGTGTTCATCCAGCTCTACACCTTGGTATCTCAGATTGGATAGACTGTTTGTTTCCCATGAGGCATCAAAGGTGAGAGAAGAACTGATAGATGTGTATAAGATTACTAGGCACATAGATAGGGTAGATCAGAAAACACATTTTCTATTAGTACAGAGGTCAGTAACTCGGGACATAGATTTAATGCAAAAGTTAGAAGGTTAAGAGACAGTTGATAATTTTCTTTCACCTGGATGGTGGTAGATGTCTAGAATTTACCATCTGAAAGTGTGGTTGAGTTAGGAACTCTTGTAATAGTTAAGCAGTATTTAGATATTTATTTGCATTGCCATAATCTCCTGTGCTATGGGCCAAAAGCTGAAAAATAGAATCAGATCTTATTGACCAGTCTGGAACTTATGGACTGAATGCCCTCCTTTTATGCTGTAAATATCTTATTAATCTGAGTCAATTTGGTTTGAATTTTCTCACCCATGGAATTAAGAATTAGTGCCATTTACAGCAGAGTTAACATTGCAGAATACATACATATTTACTGCTCCCAACAATCTGAGTAGTTATATTCAAAGAGAATGCTTCTTCCAAGTCCTGTGCCAGAGAAATAACATAACAAGGAAAACCATACAGGCAAATATGTATGTTACAGAGTACTTTGTTGAAAATAATTTTCACTCCACACACAGAAAGATTCTATAAATGCAACATGGTTTAATATATAAAATCCCAGAAAACTGCTACATAATATTGTTCAATCCATTTATAATTGAACCTAACAGGTACGTGTGAATTTCATTAAAGTACACAGTTGCTTTCCATGCACACTTAAAAATTTCTCTCATTGAATTGGCATTTACATAGCATGTTCTAATGAAAGCAATTTACTTTCAACTTTATATTACAACGTAACAGTCTGCACATTGTAAAACATGATAGAGTCATCCATGCGCCTTGCAATGAAGGCCTTATTTATACTATGACAGACCTTGATTTCCATAGATATCACAGTATGTTTAGATGTATGCAATTTTTGAATTGTCTCAAATTAATGAAGGAGAGGAGCATGTTCTTGTAGGATAGCTATAAAGAATTGCAGTGTTACATACTGTACAGTGACTATTATGACTAAATGTTCTGTTCTATTAGCTTTATTTAAGTATATTGTTCAGTTAATTACTACACATTTGATAGAAGTGTAAAGGCCTTTCTCTGTGATTCTAACTGGCATGGCAATATTATCACATTGGTCCAAATAACAATACCTGTACTGACAGATTCCTAGTGATCTCAGGACTAACTGTGTAAGGTGCAAAATCTGCAATAATGTACTTTCCTTCAACCTAGAAGATATTTTCACATTTATTTATTTGCCCAACTCATTGTCTGCATACTCTTCCATCTCAACATCTGAATCAAAAAGTGAATGGCCTGTATAATCAGTGTCCGGAGTCTGGGAATAGGAAACACTGTTCTCAGTTACTTCTTCATCAAAAGTTTCTGTGCGAGAGTACAAGCTGAAGTCTTGTAGTGGTGTGGGAGTCAAACTGTCTTCACTAGACATATCTTCATTGTCATATGAAGCATCATCACTCTCTTCAATCCATTCAGGCCAGAACTTCCTTTTAATCCTCTCACAGTACATGGCAAGGTTAACCAGCTCATCTGAAAAAAAAAATCAGAAAGATGACATACAATTACCCTGCATCTTTGAGTATGCTGTGTTTCAGAACAACTTCTCAAAAGAATTTCAATATTAGGTTTTCTAGAATAACTTGATCTCCAAGTATGGCAACAAGTAGTCACCCAGGAAAAGGATAGGGAGGATAGTGAGGTTTATGTGGAGCATGCTAATGTTCTAGGGCATTTTCAGATCAGAAAAACTGGTGTTGGATCTCCTAAAGAGCATTAGGGTGGACAAGTTCCCAAGGCCCGATGGTATCCATCCCAGGTTATTTAGAGAGGTGAGAGAGGAGATTGCTGGGGTCTTGATCAAGATATTTGTATCCTCACCAGCCACTGGAGAGGTCCCAGAGGCCTGGCAAGTAGCTAATGTTGCTCCTCTTTTCAAAAAGGGAACCAGGAATAAAGCAGGAAATCTACATCAGTGGTTGGGAAGCTACTGGAGAGAATTCTTAGGGATAGGATTTACATGCATTTGGAAAAGCATGGCCTAATTAGAGATAGTCAGCATGCTTTGTGCAGTGCAGGTCATGTCTTACTAATTTGATTGAATTTTGAGGTGACAAAGGTGATCGATGAGGGTAGAGCAGTGGGTGTTTTTTACATGGATTTTAGTAAGGCTTTCAACAAGGTCCCTCATGCTAGACTCATCCAGAAGATTAAGATGCTTGGGATCCATGGTGACTTGGCCACTTGGATTCAGAATTGGCTTGGCCATAGAAGAGAGAGCGTAGTGGTAGAAGGGTGTTTTTCAGGCTGGAGATCCGTGATTAGTGGTGTTCCGCAGGAATCCATACTGGGACCTCTGCTGTTTGTGATATATATAATGACTTGGATAAAAATGTAAATGGGTGGGTTAGTAAATTTGCAGATTATACAAAGATCGGTGGAGTTGTGGATAGTGTAGAAGGTTGTCAAAGGATACAGCGGGATATAGATCAGTTGCAGATATGAACGGAAAAATGACAGATGGAGTTTAATCCGGGTAAGCGTGGGGTGTTGCATTTTAGGAGATCAAATGTTGAGGAAAGATATACAGTTAATGGCAGAACACTGAAAAGCATTGATGTACAGAGGGACCTTGGGATTCAAGTCCACAGCACCCTGCAAGTGGCCACGCAAGTAGTTAGGGTAGTAAAGGCATATGGCATGCTTGCCTTTATTGGTCAGGGAATTGAGTACAAGAGTCAGGATGTTATGTTGCAGCTCTATAAGATTTTTATTAGGCCACACTTAGAATATTGTGTTCAATTCTGGTTGCCACATTACAGGAAGGTCATGGAGGCTTTGGAGAGGATGCAGAAGAGGTTTACCAGGATGCTACCTGGATTAGAGGGAAACAGCTATAAAGTGAGGCTAGAAAAACGCAGGTTGTTTTGTCTTGAACGGCAGAGGCTGAGGGCAGACTTGAAAGAAGTCGATAAAATTATGAGATGCATAGATAGGGTCAACGGTCAGAATAATTTTCCCCAGAGTTGAAATGTCTAAATACTAGGGGGCACGTATTTAAGGTTAGAGGGGGCAAGTTCAAAGGAGATGTGAGGGGCAGATCTTTTACAGAGAGAGTTAGGAGTCTGGAATGCACTGCCAGGGGTGATGGTGAGGCAGATACAACAAGGGACTTTTAGATAAGGACACAAATATGCAAGGAATGCAGGGATATGGACTAAGGGCAGGCAGAAGAGATTAGTTTCATTTGGCATCATGTTTGGCACAATATCATGGGCCAAAGGGCCCGTTCCTGTGCTGTAAAGTTCTATGTAAGTAAATTTTGACCTAGACGAGAGCACTGGTTCTATTTTCATGAACTCCGAATCAATCCAATCAATATCCAATTTTGTGGGCTTATCATATGAGAAACAGTTGAGAACTCTGGGTCTGTACTTGGAGTTTAGAAGGATGATGAGGGATCTCACTGAAACTTAGAGAACACTCAGATGCCTGGATAGACTGGACATGGAGAAGCTGTTTCCACTATGAGACTAAGGCCTGAGGGCAGAGCCTCAAAGAGAAAGGGCAACCCTTTAGAATTGAGATGAGGAGGACTTTTTTTCAGCTAGAGGACAGTTAATCTGTGGAACTCGTCGCCCCACAAAGCTGTGGAGGCCAGGTTATTGAACATATTTAAGACAAAGACAGATTCTTGATTAGTAAGGGGTTCAAAGGTTATGGAGAGAAAGCAGTAGCATCAGATTGAGAAACATATCAGCCATGATCAAATAGTGGAGTAGACACGACAGGGTGAATCACCTCATTCTATTCCTATATCTTGTGGTCTTATGGTGTATGGTGAAAATCCCTGTTGGCTCGAAAAATTTCACCAGACTAGAAATAATGACTATTTCCAGACATTCTCAAGATCCAGGCTCAGATTATGTCAGAAACCCTGGTTACCTCTATATTGAGGGAGTCAGTTGACTGGATGGTTTGTTTGCAATGGAGTTCCTACACCGGCTGAGGTTACCATGAAGGTCTCATCTTTTCAACCTTGTCCCTCGTGAGAGACATGTTGACTCTCAGGTTAAAATGACCACCACCAGTCACCTCTCTCCAATGCATGAGGAGCCCTCTATGGTCCTCGAACTGTGATGGCTTATGAATATATGATAAAAATCACTTCTAGTCATTTGCCAGAATTTTCTGATCAATTAAAAAACAACAACTTTGTATCAATAAATCTGAATGATGAAAGCTGCTACGTAAGGTTTATCCTTATCTTATGAACATATTACACGTGCCACATACTGGGAATAATTGTGACACAGCCCATTTCAGGACACACTGAATTGGCACTGACTTCAATGGGATGAAAATTGGACAGGTTTTACAATGAGCTACAGTCCATTGTACAATCAATTAGAAACTATAACCCCTCTGAGTGGATCTCATCTTGTTTTGTCCTTGAAAAGCCATGAGCTAATTAAATGGTGTCAGTGGAATGCCAGCGAATCCTCACACATACTGAGCAAGGAGGATGAACGCTCTTGAGTTTGCAAGATGAGTTAATCCAAACCATTTAAAAGCACTTCCTTCACACAGCCCCCAAGCAGCTCGAGTGATGTGCAGGTGAGATATCTGTCATAATCCAGTGGCCCATAAAGCGAGGTCATCACTTGCAGATAATATAGGTGGGTTACCATATGTAAAAAAAACTGGTGAGCTAAAATTTTCAAACTTTGGAATAGATGACAATAATTTCAGATGTCCAGCCTTGGTTTCTAATATTACTCTCAACCTCATGTCTGATGGCAGTGGTGTAGAAATAGTTGTCCCATTAGCTTAAAAATCTTAAGAAATTAATTGTATGTTATAGAAATAGCTAGTTCTCTCTCTCATCTCCTTATCATGAAAGATTCTGTACTTACTTACCTGAGCAGACAGACACTGGGCATCACAGGCATTTTACCTTTGGTGAAGACGAGACTCCAGCAGAGGCCCTAATGCAAGACATTCCTCAGTCTGATAAAATGGAATTGTATTTCCCAAATGTAAACAAACCAAGTGAGGTCAACAGAATGTCCCGAGGTAGATTTATGCTAGCTTCAGCCTAATACCCTGGTTAACTTCAAGACAGTCAACAGCAGAATTATCCACTAGCAACAGAGTGCAGCATCACTCTGCTTCATTCATACATTCAATCAATCAGGGAACAATAAACTATTATCACCTGATGTATGAGTTGCATGTTTCTTCTATCTATTTAACTTGTGTAACGTATCGCAAGTGTTACTTCATAAATAAAGTGCTATAAATCACTTGTGATCATGACCTATCTTTTGTTAATCTCTGCCTCTTGGATCAAGTCTTACAGTGGGTTCAAGCTTCACTTCTTGAGCACATAATCTAATCTGGCATTTCAGTCCATCACTGAGAAAATGCTATACTGTTTGAGGTGCAGTTTTTCAGATGAGACATTAAACCAAGGCCTCACTTGCCTTTGCGAATAAAAGGACTATGGCATATTTAAAGAGTTTTCCAGGTGTCAGTATCTGTTCTTCAACTGTATCCTATGTGATGGAGATGCACTGGCCTAGTGGCATTATTGCTAGACTATTAATCTAAAGGTAATGTTCTAGGAACCTGGGTTTGAATCCTGCTGCAGCAGATGGTGGAATTTGAATTCAATTAAAATAAAATCTGGAATTAAGAATCAAATGATGACCATTGTTGATTGTTGTAAAAACTGAACTTGTTCGCCAATGGGAAGGAAACTGCTATCCTTACCTGGTCTGGTCTATGTGACGCCAGACCCACAGCGATGTGGTTGACTTTTAAACTCCCCTCTGGGCAATTAGAGATGGGCAATAAGTGTTGGACTAGCCTGTGATGCCCTCATCCCATGAATGATTTTTTTTTAAAAATGTTCCTCACATTACAATCATGTATGCATTTCAACAGCATTTGTTCAGCTGTAAAGTGGTTTAGAGCATGGTGAGATTGTGAAAGATGCCTTTTCAATAGATGTTTTTCCTTCTGTTGGCTGGACAAAAGCCAACGCCTGGTTTAATCCATGATGGAAGACTGCGCAGGCCTGCTTCCTCTTGTTACTCCACATGCGGAGTGGCCACCCTTAAGCTTTACAGAAGTAATTTTCTCTCTAATGAACAGAGAAGGCAATGGGCTGTTGTGGCTCTGTGTCATCTCTTGCTTCTTTCTAAGCATCTGTTAGCCTCTTAAAGGCTGTATTGAGGGGAACAGGCAAGGCACATCCAGGTGAAGGCAAACTGGATGACGAAAACTACCCGACAAAATTTGACTGCTGCCAAGCTAGATGTGATGCTAAAGTTAGTGCATGAGCTTTGATCTGTTCAACACATTAATATTGAATATCTCTGTTAGATCTTCTCATAACCTCCCTGCTCTAAAGAGAATAATCTTCTCTCTCTATTCTGACTAAAGTCTTTCATCCCTAATACAGCCTTGTAAAATTTCTCTGTACTTTCCTCCAGGATAGAGTTTTATTGCTTTAATTGAAGAGCAAA